ACCTTCCTTGGAATCCCACCATGTCTACTTGTCATGCATTCCCATGATGCCCAATTCCTACGATGCTCAATTCCCATCATGCCCACTTTCCATACATGCCCACGATGTCCAATGCCCACCATGCTCACCTTCTTCAGATTCCCACCATGCTCACCTTCTTCAGATTCCCACCATGATGAAGGGAGGCATGATGAGAATGGGGCATCGTAGGAATGTATAAAAAGTGGACATGGTGAGAGGCCAAGGAAGGTGGAATTGGGCATCGTGGGAATCTATCGAAAGTGGACATGGTGGGAATCTAAGAAAAGTGGCATGGTGTAAATTGGGAATCGTAGGAATGTATGAAAAGTGGACATGTTGCGAATCCAAGGAAGGTGGGCATGGTGGGAAATGGACATTGTGAGAATTGGGTTTCGCGGAAATTGGGTTTCGTGGGAATTGGGCATAGCGCAACGCACCTGGATGGAAGTCTCAATAACAATATACAATATTCAGTACTTATAAAAAAACAGTTTTTGCACGACCTATATTTAATGAGCGATTTTTCACCAAAAGCGGCAGTACCTTTAGGTCACAGAGTGTACTCTCTAGGCTAACAAATTGTCCGAAATTTTTCTGGCAATGAATCTAGCCCTATGTTTGCAGATGCTCCTTCAATAATTGTCAAACATTTTTCCATTATTCATCAAAAAATACTCAGGAAAACAGTTCAGAAAATGCGAGCACACTTTGTCGATGTTCACAAAAAGTAATACGGCTATTCTCATGTATTGGTCGTCATGAAAATCAAATTTTATTTGCCCCTTGGCCTCCACTTGCGAATGCTTCTAATGATCACATTCCTGTATTATTCGTATCTGTAATCGTAGCTACTCGTTCATGGATTCTTGAACAAAAAGTGGATTCAAATCGAAATTAAACGATATTTTCACAAAAAAGCCATTTCAAATTAATTTCTATTCATTAATCTAGAAAAATTAATGAAACACCTCCTGGATTAACCTACAGACAGTACTTATATTGATAGATACATTTTTCCGTGGATACAAGTACACCAAATGATATAAGCGCCATATGGCACCAACAAAAAAGGGGAATAATTTGAGTTTTATCATTCCATTTCAAAAATGTATTCTTTATAGGATGTTTCTGACCGTATGTTGTTTTTGTATGTGAACCAAAAGTGAATAATCACTCGTGAATAATATACTGGATTATAATAAACAGTGTTTCACACTCCGAGAAAAACACTCATGCATTTGGAGTGAGTATACAAAAATGATCAATCCGAAATACCTACTCCAACATACTTTCGGATGAGTAGGATGAGTATTTGAAGTCATCAGTTTACACTTTTCAATACTTCGATAATGACTATGTACATGATGAAAAAATATAGGAAATGATATTTCTCTACTAAATTAAAAAAGTGTTTAAAAAAAGTGTTTTTAACCGCCAGCTTAGTTGCAAAGCAACCCTCGAAAGTCAGAGACTTGTGTGAGTTAAGAAGACGGGGACCTTAGCTTTTTAAGTGTCATCCGAAGCACTACTCGGCTGGTAACCGTGGACAGTCCAAAGGATTGATATCTAGGTACCAAGAATGTTGGGTTGGCCACCTATCTCCTCCCGCCCAACGAAACTACCGAAAATTAATTCAGTGCTCGCGCCGGGGATCGAACCCGGACCGCCTGGGCGACAGCCAGCGACTCTACGCTCACGGCCACCAGCCCAGATTCCCTCAGTATGTTTGGAACAGGCTAATGAAAGTTCGAAATCAACCAGAACGGGAACATATAAACAGTATCATTAGCAATATGAATATTACTAGGTTTGTTTACAAAAATGATCCATCGTAAAATGACATCCAACTGATAATATATAGCTACTTGGCTATACAATCACGCGACATTATGGGAAACCGTTCACCTGACGCCTGCCACAAATATGAAAATAAAAATGGGTGTTCGTGTGAAAGTTTGCATAATTTATTAATTAGTACTCATCGATGATGGTCGATCAGAAATGGGAGTTCATCATTTGGACAAAAGTTATTTCATTTGAAAATTAAATTTGTTGTCCTAATTGACTTGGCTGTCACTTGTTGGAAGTCTATATTGAAAAGCACTCCGCAAAACGAAAAGATTTTCGTGGAATCCAAAAGAATACTGAATGTAGGTAGATAGAGAAGGAGAATCAATTTCCCAACATATACCTGATTGGTACCCCCTATTCTCTATTCCAGGAGAAAAATATAGTAGCATTATTCCACTATATCATTTTTTATAGATCTGATTTGTTTTCACTACGAATCTATTGAAATGATACACTTATATTGATATTTATAATAACATCAATAACATGGAGAGAAAATACAAAAACGCAGAGAAACATTAAAACATATATGATATATCGCAGACTGAAACTTCTGGAACGATAATCACATCAGAAAGCTTTACCAGTAAAAAACAAATATTTGAACCTTTCAGGAGAACCGAGTTAGTTTAGTTATATCTCCATATTTTGGCCTTCACCATCATCAGTAATTGTAGAGATTGTATATTCTTGATGAATCACTCTGTATAGTTAATGAGAAGTGCCACGTATACCTCCTTTGTCGCACAATAGCAATAGTTGATATTTAGACACAAAGGTAGTGGAGAATATCTTCTTTACCCTGGGTGTCAGCCGAGGAGTCAGTCCGAGGAGTCAGCGGAGGGATTTGAGTTCCCGTGGTGATGATATTCTTCATATAATTTTTTTTTTCTTTTTTCACCACTAGCAATATATTTTCATCATAATAGTTCGGTGAAACTTAAGTAGGACCTATTGTCACTGTGAAAACACATCTTTTCTATTTTTATTGAAATCTAGTAGTACCCATGACCATGACAGCATTCGGCAAGTCGTCTTTGATAAATACCTATACTATATATAGATTTGAGTGCCGTTCCTGCGAATCTCGCAACTGAAGAGTACATTATTCTGCTTTCATCGGACGAGAATATCCTAATGAAGTACCAACTATTCGATCTATGACTGACAATAAAATTGGTGGGTACTTCTTAAAAGAAGTGGAATATCAATCACTAATTCATACTTCCAGTATTATATATGTCCAGTTGACTATCTCCCAACTAACGTCGTGTTAGTTGGAAGTGTTTCGAAATTGACGGTAACTTCGGGAATAAAAGATTCACTTCGCGTGTCACAAAGTGATAAAGGGCATAAAGCAAACCAAAATGATAATAATAAATTCAGAAGTGGGATTACTTCCATGAAGAACTTTAATGAGTTTGAATGGGCACTGTTAAAATGTAGATATTATTGAATTTCGATATTTATTATTTAATTATAATTTCGAATCAATTTATAATTGGGTAGCGGATTCTAGAAGATAATGGGTGAAAGTATGCTTAGATCGAACTTGCAATTTTATTTGTGAAATATTTAGGGAACAAAAATTATATTGCGACGAACGTGTCGAGTGCGATTCCAATACCTGAAAGGCGGTGAATCAAAAATATTTTCAACGGCTCCTACGTTATACTTCGATCATTTAGAGAATTGTTGTATTGAAAATGAACATTATACTATTATTCGAAGCCCAACAATTGGCAATGACATACACTTGAGAATCGCATGATATCATACGTTTGAATGACTGTATTTTCATTGAACGTGAAACAGAGATTCATTGTTTCAGTTATTCTGGAAGCACTAATGCTTTTTGTAGAGATATTTCGTTGTAGTGAACCAAATGATTGAGAGCATTATTTTTGCAAAATGTCGTCAAAACGATTTTGGAAAACTCACATTTGTAAGTAGGTACTGTCACTGAAATATGTGAATGGTATAGATATGAGAATCCCGTTATCATTTGCTTCTGCTTCAGGTTCCTCAGCGATTTGTGAATAGAAGATTCTGTTACATAATTAATAGGAAGACAATATGAATACTGGGTGTTTGAAGATTAAAATGAAATGGGGTGATCTAAGAGAATTGACGATGAAATAATTTGCGAAATGAATGCTCTTCATGAATATATTCGGTCACCATGAATAGGCCACACTTTCCAACATTATGATTACAATAATCCATTGTGAAATTATGAATCAACCTGATGACACCAGTTTTTCAGGATTGCTGGTGCCATTTGGCCTCAGCCGCCCTTTCACGTTAAATCCTACCAATTGTTAAACAATCATTCATAACATGAAAAAAAAAAACAATGGACAAATGCCTAACCATAATTATAAAATGTTGTTGCTTGATGCATCCATGCATGATGCTTATGATAACAATTATGAACAGTGATCGATATATGCATTAGGAGATGATGATCAGAATATTGAAGAAAATCAAACATCTGCCTGAAAAAAGTCATTGATACATTCGGTGCTTGAAGTGACTCGCTGAAAGCAAAGTCTCGGGTTTGGCATTCCCACTTGATCGATGATTCACAAGAACATCAGGCCAATTTCATAACTCATTATTTTTCGACTCATTTATTTTTCATTTTCTATTATCTGCTACTCTTTCCTCTCCAATTCAGGAAACTCCATGTATATGTATAGGAACAGTAATGATGATGTATGGAAATGCAGAATAAGTCTAGTTCAACCGAGTTATTTCTATTCATATACCAAGTACTAATTGTTAAATCCTCATTCCCTGTTTGATATTTCATTCTTGTCTTTTTTATAATCAGATATTGAATTTTCATGCTATGCGTCTCTATATTCATTGAAAAATCTGTAGATATAATCTGAATACATGTAGTAAAAACAAAATCAAATGTTTTGTTTCACAATGTGCCTTCTCCCAAAAATCTCACTATTGAAAACCAATAGATGAATTCAATCGTTGATCAGTGATGAAGAGGTTCCCTTAAATCTATAAAGAAATGAATATTTCACTTCTTCGATCTACCTTTACAGACAATATATGTGGTAAAAAGCACATTCAATGACTTGAAATTTGAACCTTTCTTTTTTTTTCAGATTGGACGAACATCTCATTAGCAAACATAACTACAGGAGGGACGAGTATCAGTGTGATTATTGCCCTAGAGCTTATTCATACCGACCATGTTTGATAAAACATCGGTCTATCAAACATGGTGAAACGAAGAAATACCATTGCGAAAACTGCCCTAAGGTGAGGAAAGAAGTCAGTATTCAATTACGATAATAATTGTTCTGATAATGATTCTTTCAAGAGAATGTCGATATCAAGTAATCGTTTATCACTCGTATGACTAGCATTCCTTCAAACTCACTCATATGAACCTTGCTAGAAGATGATCTTCACTGATCAGATTAATTATTCGTGAAATTTTTCAGTCAATATTGCCATGTGTTGAAATTGGTATCGGCGTATCAGTCTGAAGTCATTGTGGACATCGTACAAATACATATTCATTACTAGTTCAGCAAATATTGAATTGTTTCTGATGATGAGTGGCTATTTTCATAGATCTGTCATCGTTACGATGTCTATAACCTGCTCAGTGTATCAACTTCGAGTATTGTCATTATCATATACATATATGCAATACATTGAGTTCCTATCTAGAACGGTAAGAGTGGTATACTGGTTGAAGACGTTGTTTGGAGATTGATGAAAGCTGAGAGGAATCTGATATTGTTATAACTAATAAGCCTTCTAACTCGAGGTGCTTGTTCTATTCTACAGGGTGAGTCATAACAATTGGGAGATAGGCTAAGGGTGGATTGTTTGAACCTAAATATGGCGATAGGAACAAATATGCCCCAATGAAATAATGCTGTGGAGAAAGATTCAGGCGTTTCGATCAAAAAAGTATCAACTACAAACTCGCACCAAATTTCATTCACTGACAAGATATGTAATTCACCGGCAACAATTATTTGACAGTTCAATGTACACTCTTCATGAATGAAATAATATTACGAGACATCGAACTGTTCAATTGCGCTCTTCTCGAAAACGAATGAGAATATAGTTTTCAAACAAGGGTACCAATATAACGTAGAAATGATGTGTATGTCATTTTCCCTGATTGAAATCACTAAAAAGTTTTGTCAAAACAAGTATCATAGTCGGTTTCATCATCACGTGGCGCCTCCTGTAACAAACTGAAGAATAATACATACAATAATATTTCCTGTATGAAAGTATACTTTTGTGCGGAATTCGATGACACTTGATGAATGAATAAACAGTGAAATTATCAACAGAAAACGCCCTGTATCTTTTTTCACAGCAATATCGTATCAAGGCATAATTGGTCCTATCGCCATATTTTGGTCCGAACAATTTCTCTTAATCTATGTTCCAATAGTTATGACTCACCATATGTATATCTATTGTATTCGCATGGTTCAATCTTCTCCAATATGAGATATGTTCAGAGTTCTTCAATGAATCCTCGACCATTCTCAAATTAGAAAACCAAAATTTTGTTGTTCAGAATTGGCCAAGACTCGTTACTTTTGTTTCATAGAGCTATTTTGATAGTCACACCATCACGATTATGTTGAAATTGACTTGAAATTCATCATCCCAATACCTCTTCAATTTTGAATACACTATTGCATCGTTCGGTGGATTCAGTTGAGAATCCCGTCGAATAACCGCTAAGATCACTTGATCTAACTCCTATTGCTTCTTTGCTGTGGGGCCATCTGAAATCGTAAGTGTACTACACCCAACCTGAAACACTAAAAGGGTTGTGTCAGAAAGAAACCGATGTCCTTAGTAATGTTTGAACAGAATTCGAAAACATCTTCTAATGTTGTTAGCAACTTAACAAAGGGCATTTTGAGCAATATTTTGGAAAAACTTCTTTCGCACGGCTCGAGCTTAATCAGAAACTGTTCATTTATTGGTGAACTGATCGACACACCAAAACAAATATGTGGGTGTGCAGACACAATGCTTCGTCTCTATGAATACACATTCTAGTTTAACTCCAATATACCTGTAGTATAGAGTCTAGAGCAATGTAAACTCCATCCCCTCGATTACCCAGATGCAGATGGTATTCAAGGTAGTTGCATTTGAAATTCTCATGTCGGAGTTGTGGGGAGTTATTGGGATCAAGTTATTTCCATTGCCAAAAACGCTGTCCTGAACAAGAGACTTTGACATGTCTCGGTGATTTCATGAATGAAGTCAGATCCCTGATTTGAGTATTTTTCAATCGGTCGATACTTTAAGTTCAGTATTTTTCAATCGGTCATGCAGTTTATCCATATTTCTAATGTTCTGAACACAACGTATTCCAATCCCTAATCAAGATGAGTCAGAAATTTCGGAAATGAATGCGAAGGATGATAAGAAAATAATGGATGGTGCATCAAATATTTTACTCAGTGACATGGATTTTTACAGGTTTTCACAGATCCCAGTAACCTTCAAAGACATATCAGAACCCACCACGTTGGTGCAAGATCTCACGCGTGCCCAGAATGCGGAAAGACATTCGCCACTTCTTCTGGATTGAAACAGCATACGCATATCCACTCTTCTGTCAAACCTTTTCAATGTGAAGTCTGCTTCAAGGTGAGTTTCAACTGCATTGACCGAAGTAGATCAATTATTCTTGTATGAAACCATTCAATAGATATTAGGTGTGGTAGTCAAAATGTGAAAACGTTAGGTTATCCGATGGAACATTGGTTTCAACCTGCTAGTATACAAGGTCAATCTTAGGTGAAATTCCATATTGCTCAAAGTGGAGGAAAATTTTTCGAAGGATGGAAGAAATGCTCGAAGTCATCTCCAAAAATTTCAATGGTGTTGTTACACAATCATGAAAGGGACATGTTTCGATCTTATGAAAGACCATCTTCAGTCTATCTGGAAGTTATACAATACAAAAAGATTGATGTGAAAAAATGACATAATTTGTTCTTGAGTTACTTGAAGTTGAAAAAATGTGATGCTACTAGTTGTGGAATAGTTGTCAATGCCCATAGTAAAAAAATCGGGTTTATAAATAATAATAATAATGGAAAAACGGTTTCTCAATAAATATAGGGCTTCATGCCCTGAAAGCGGATACCAGTCATCTCATCACAATTTTATATACCAAAATAGTATATGAAGGATAATTGCCAAAAGGTTTTGTTTTTGACAACACCATGAATCAAGGGGTTTTTTGAAAAAGAGGTTCTCCGTGCCCTTATGAAAGCGCTTCTATTGATATTTTTTCAGTAGCGTTGATTTATGGTGTTGTCAAAAACAACACATCTCGGCAATTACCCATCATATACCATATATTGGTTTATGAAATTTTAATGATCTGAATGGTATGCGCTCAGGGCACGGGGCCCTTTGTTCATTGAGAACCCTTTCCTTCATTTATAAACCCACTTTTCCGACTATATGGGCATTGACAACAATCACACAACTAGTAGCATCACATGTTTTCAGCTCCAAGTAATAAGTCAGGTACAAATTATGTGATACTTTCGCATTAATCTTTTTGTATTGTAGAACTTTCAATTGGGCTGAAGATGGTCCTTTATAAGATCTCAACATGTCCCTCATGATTGATTGTGTAACAACACTATTGGATTTTGTGGAGATTAATTCGAGCATTCCTTTCTTTCTTTGTAGTGCAAGGTCGTTAATCAACATTATTTAATTGGTTTATACGAATTACTTTGGGAGTCTCATTCGTACCACGAACAAAAAAGTAACATATTTCAAAATTGCTCCATTTGATAAAGAACATGGAATTATCATATGGATGTCATCGAATTCTGAGTTGACTCACTTTCCATACTACCCATGATATCATTATAGGAAATTTCTAAACCATTTCATTGATTGCCAGAAAGATTAAATAGGATAGGAGATGTAATGTGAAGTCATCGCAAGAAGGTATACCCAGAATGATTTTATTTTTTTTCCTAGACGAAATATACATATGAGAAGATACATCTGTTTAGGTCATTTTCCTTAGATTCAATCAAATTGAGCAGATCTTTTTAAATGAACGCATCATAATGTAGCTAACTAGTTACTTATCAAACAAGAAATGAAAGAATTTGAATGTTTCAATATTCTGCAAGAGAAGTACCGGATGAATTTCAGTGTTGAGGAGGATGCCCTTATATTTTCGAATTTCCACTGCTTACAATGATTTTCATAATTTTCAATGTCAGTCTGTATATTCCTTCAATAATGGTTCTTGAATGGTGAAATATTGATTTATCGAAACGTTATATTACTCTTGGTCATAGCATAGATATTCATTACATCGACGTTCATTTTTGTTTCAGGCCTATACACAATTTTCCAATTTGTGTCGTCACAAACGTATGCATGCTGATTGCCGAATGCAGATAAAATGCGTCAAATGTGGACAGTCCTTTTCAACAGTAACATCACTTTCTAAACACAAGAGGTTTTGTGACTCTACTACACCCTCGTCTTTGTCATCACAAGGTCAACTACCACTTAGCCCGATGGCTGGAACCAATCCATTTTCCCTGTACAGATCTCCTGGCGTTCCTCTGCCATTTCCATTTCCCCATCAGTTTCATTCTTATCATCAACTTTTTCCATCTAACCCAGTTATCCCTTCACTATTTTTCAATCAACTACCAAAGATCAACTCCGCAGAAGAACATACGCCTTCGAAGAGGATGAGATTGGGCAGTGAGGGATTATCTCCGAAGTTAGAGAGACTCTCACCAAGAGAAAGATTATCACCTAAACAGGAGAGACTTACTCCTTCTAGAGAACATACTTTCATGTCCAAGATGAGTCCTCCCAAAGCTGTAGAGGCGAACATAACTGCCTCACCCGAAAGACCCAACATATTTAAACATAAAGAACAAATCAGAGTGGAGATTCCAGTGGATGATGATATTCCGAAAGATTTGTCAAAACAATCTTCCAGTTCATCATCTTCAAGTAGCGACGAGGCTGATCAACCACTTGATCTGAGTGGCTGGAAAGAATCCAGAGTGACTACCCAAAACAGAGAAGAAAACATTGAGAGACAATCTTCGACACCATCCGAATCGATCAAAGAAGAGAAGATTGAGGTCGTTGCTATAGATGAACAAAATAAATCACCAGCTGAGAGAGTGTCTGCGCCACCTACTATGGCATATCCTAGACCACTACATCCATTGATGATGACCGATGCTAGAAACTTCTCTTACAATTATCCATCAGCCCAAAATAATGAAAGGTTACTTCCTTTCGCATTTTCTCATCATCGCTTTCCTCTATTCAATACATTACCTCCCCAAAGACTCGATATGTTGAGACCTGGACTGCCTGGTCTAAATAGCATGAGACCATATCATGACGTATTGCAACATCAAAACCAAGCAAAAGTGAAGGATAGGTATGCTTGTAAGTTCTGTGGAAAAGTTTTTCCTAGATCAGCTAATTTAACCAGACATCTTAGAACTCATACAGGGGAGCAACCCTATAAATGCAGGTATTGTGAGAGATCCTTCAGCATATCGAGTAATCTACAGAGGCATGTTCGAAACATTCATAATAAAGAGAAGCCGTTCAAGTGCCCACTTTGTGAGCGATGTTTTGGACAACAAACTAATCTGGATAGGCATCTGAAGAAGCACGAATCTGATGATGGTAATGGTGCAGTTGCGGTGGCTGACTCACCAGGAAGCAGTAACGAGAATGAGAGAGAAGATGCATGTTTTGATGAGATCAGATCTTTCATGGGCATTGTCACATCTGGTACACCTGAATATTACAACACGAGGGTCTATTCTCCACCTTCCACTAATGACATCGACGTCGTTGGAAAGGATGAAGAAGATTCAGAATCTTATTCAGAGATCGTGGATGATTATTTGTCACAAAAATCCAATTTCGATCACAAATTAAGAACGGACAAGGAAAAACGTCTAAACAATAATGATCAGGCCATAGAGGTATCCACCTAGTGTGATTTCAGATATTCTAAAGCTTTGGAAACACTATATAGTGACATTGTTCAATAATGTGATCGTCTGTTTATGACTTCTTCTTGAAATTAAATTAATGTATATATTGCATATTATCTGCTGACCTAATAATTGATGAGGTAGAATCGAAAAATCGAATTGTGAAGTTCCTACACAAATTTTGTCAATTTTGTGACGTATTTATTCGAGCACTCAGTATCGAAAGTTCTTACTTGCACATTTTATTCTCTCCCCACCTCCACCGCAGTCTACTGTTCGAACATTCTCCCTCTTTTACACTGACAATTTGACAAAGTTGAAATCGTACTATACACCTATTCAAAATCGCCTAGTGTACTCACATAACATTATTTATTGAATATAAACTTATTATATGCCATCAATGTAATCTTGATATTTATAAATTCATAGACATTTCAGATCGATATTCTTTTTATGAAATATTAGTTGTTATGAGTATATTTCGAGAGAATTATTACAATCATGATATTCATCTTGGATATTGGTACCAAAATTATTTATTACATGTGAATTTGAAACCAAAGTTTATTTGAATTGTTTTGTACAAATTAGATTAAAGTTCGATATTGTTAGATGTACTAGGTAATAGTTTTATTGAATGTATTTTCATTCGTATCATTTGAAAATAATGATATATGGCTCTACAACTCATATTGTAAATTATATATAAAATAAAATTTGCTGATATGTAGATGGACCAACAATTATTTTCCTATCAACCACTACACATATATGTGAGATACCTGAATTTCATTGAAAGCTGGTTCTGACTCTGATTTTTTCCAAGATGAGATGCAGAATGAAATATGGGCTCCAAATCTTCATTATGCATTCGCAATATCTTATAGTTGGATTGTTTTGACACTCACTAGAGTCAATGGGGATATACTGGCAGAAGGACTCCGTTCGATAGATAATTGTTGTTGAATGAATTAAATTCAATTCTGAAATTGATCACAGATGTTCACATGCTAAGTAAATCTCTATCGAGAATTACTTATTATATCGATTTCTTAGTGTTCGCTCAATATATCACGTAATAACACATCGCACCGTCAGAACAATACTACCACAAGTCAAAAAATACCGATTTTGAGTTATTGTGCTATAAGGATTGTTGAAGAGCTAAGGTATCATATGTAAAAGTAACACAACTAATATTTTCCTCAAACATTTTTTAAATGGTACATAAGTTAGTTATACATTCTGACAAAACGGACACACTCGCGGTGCAAAAGTACCACATCTGAGATGTGTTGCTATTGCACTGGTGATACCGTTATTATTCAATACTATAACTCAACTTGTGTTAGTATTGCACGTCATAGATTATTGTTATTCCCTTCTCACTTCGGGATAAATGCGATTCACGTCAGTTCGAATGCACACTAGATACCTATTTAGTATCATTATTCGAGTTTGTGAGTAGATACTATCAAAAAATCAGTGGATATGGAGCGTAGAATAATGAGTTCTAGAACACAACGGATCATGGATAAGGCGGCGGAATGTATTCAAGATGTAGAGATTCCATCAGATTCTGTAAGTATATTGAATTGTTTGAAGAATTATTGTCGTGTTACGACGGACATAACCTCAATTTCAATTTGCCGGTATAACTCATATCATAGCAAAATCTCGTTTGAATTCAAGGTATTCTCAACTGAGTTACCGCAACATTTTGAAGAAGACAAGGGATATATAGAGTTATCACCAGTGAACATTCTTCAAGCTTGCAATAATAGTAGAATTATTGACAATGAGTCGACCTTTATTCATCAAGACAGTCCGATTTATGTAAGTATATTGTGCGAGTATTTTCATAGTACTCATAGTACTTCGATTTATTCATCATTCATTGAAAAGAACAGAGTATCTGATGGTCCGATCTATCTGACAAACCTAACTCTATTTCTTTTACAGGTGGATACAAATATTATCGATAAGGAAACTTTCGATATACGTATTGCAGAGAAGTTCCACATTGATTATAGTACGGGAGATATAATTAGTACAGGAGTTTTGACTGAAAATTGTATCAGTGAGCCAGAGGTATACGAAGTTGATACGGATGGTGTTCTACAAAAGTACATCGAGCAAAAACAAAATGGAAATGACAGTATTCCTCTTCAAGAAGCGTCAGAGTATTCCCAAATTGAAAACAGAGATTTTGAGGGAGATAAGTATAAAAATCCTAACGAGGAATTCATACATCTCGTAGAATCCGAAATTGGAGTCCATAATGAAGATTTCAATGAATCAGGAATGAATCAAGCATCAATTGAGGGTAGTGTGAATTCTGAAAGTTCTATGGTTCGGAGTTACAATGATGATGACCTCATAGATGATTTGGATACTAGAGCTGGAAGCATTGCTAATTCAGATGATTCGAATGAGACTTTGGAAGCGATTAGACAAAGGATTCGAAGGAATTTGTTGTTGACAATGAATCAAAATATTGATGAAATTGATGTTAGCAATAAAGAGAACTTCGATGTTTCTGAGTCTTCTCGGAAATCACGTAAACGAAAAAGAAATCAAAACTCATGGCAAAGAGAACAACTGAAGCAAAAAAGAAACTCTGGACAAGCCTATATCACATCTAAAAACAGACGCAAGGTATCTGAGAGAAGCCTAAAGTCAACATGTGGAGAAACGTGTCGGTATAAATGTAATGAAGTTTTCACTTCAGCTGATAGGAAATCAATCTTAAAAAGCTTCTGGGAAATTGGACAAAATACACAGCAGAGGCAATACATCTCCTCTAATATTGTAGATGTCAACCCAAAATTCAGATATCCGAAAGATAATACAAACAGATCGATCAACCAAGCCTACCATTTAGCTAAGAATAATAAACAAGTTCGTGTTTGCAAAAAATTCTTCATGGCTACATTGGATATTGGAGACACTATGATACGTTCAACGTTGAAGAAAAGAGGTTCAAATGGCATTATTCAACCTGATCAGCGTGGTAAACATAATAATCGGAAAAAGTTGGATCCTGCTTTGAAAGATTCAATAAGAAATCATATAGATTCAATTCCAAGAATTGAATCGCATTATTTGAGAAATCAAACAAAAAGGGAATATTTTGAAGGTTGTCTCAATATAACAACCCTTTATCGACTTTATAAAGAGAAATGCATTGCATCTGGGACTTCTTTTGCTAAAAAAAGTGCATATGAACAGATTTTCAATTATGAGTATAACATAGGGTTCCATAAACCAAAGAAAGACCAATGTAGTACCTGTGAAAGTTATAAAAACTCCAATGATAAAGATCGATCTGTTTTGGAGGACAGTTATAGAAAACATTTACGAGATAAAGAACTGTCTAGGGAAGAGAAAGCAAGAGATGTGAAAACAGCAACTGAAAATGAGAAAACAAGAGTTGTTGCTGTTTACGATCTCCAAGCAGTACTTGCTACTCCTTCAGGAGATGTTTCTAGTTTTTATTATAAGAGCAAATTAGCAACTTACAATTTCACGATATTTGACATACCTCACAAAAATGGTTACTGCTATGTTTGGAGTGAAAATTGTGCGAAGCGTGGTGCAAACGAAATTGGAACCTGTGTCCTCAGCTTCATAAGAAAATACTGTGACGGTAAAAGCATTGTGTTTTATTCCGACAATTGCGCCGGACAGAATAAGAATAAGTTTATAGCTGCAATGTACTCATTTGCTGTATCGAATTTCAATATTCCCATCATCACTCACAAATTTCTCATAACAGGCCACACTCAGAATGAGGGGGATAGTATGCATTCCTGTATAGAGCGTGAGAAAAAACGAATTCTGAAGAGTGGTCCAATTTTTGTACCATCACAGTGGATACCAGTGATACGATTGGCAAAAAAAAACAATAATCCATATGAAGTTGAAGAAATTGATACTTTCGATATTTACGATTTCAAAAAACTCTCATCGGAGATCGGCAATAACTATAACATCAATATAAAGAACGAAAAGGTCCTCTGGAGCGAGATAAAAATACTGGAGTTTAGAAAAAGTGCTCCTTTCACAATATTCTATAAAACAGAATACACGAATGAAGCATTCCAAGAAATTGATGTGAGGGGAAGAAAAAGCCACAGGACTACCAATAAGAATAGCCCTTCCTTGGTGAAGGCATACGTTGAACCTCCGAAAATATCGAAAGAAAAGAAACAAGGTCTGGTGTCTCTGTGTAAAGAAAATTTGATAAAAAATCAATATCACGCATTTTATGAAAATTTATCTTGCGATTAGAGTTGTTGAGTTTATTGTTTATATTCTCATGATGTAATATTGAAAGTTCTGTTCATACAATTTTAATAAACACATCATAATATGAGTTATCGATAGTATTTTACTCACCAAATTTCGACATTTCCATTGAAAAATCAATAATTTTGTTGAAAGCAAGTAGCCGTCTTCAGGATAAAAACAACGTAATTTCAAATTTTTGTCCCGCAATTGCAATAAAAATCAATGCAACACTAACCCAACTCGAATTTAATCCATATTTTCAATTATTTTTATCAACACTTTGATTGTAATTTGAAAAACTATATATTATCATCATCTCATGATAATACATAATCAATTCTTGAAGAAACAACAAAGCTATATCTCATTGATTGAAAGTTATCGAATCGCAACTGTTTCTTCAAAACTTCAAACGCGGTTTTCTCTGAACCATGTTTTTTGACTTATGTTAGTATTGTTTTGAAGGTGCGACATATTAACCTGTGTAAATACGAAGTGTTTATATATTGTGTGACACAGAGAATTCATGAAGACTTCAATTATGTATTGATGTACAGGTTTCCATTAAATATTCGAAAGTTGATATGATTTCCAGAAATAGCGGAAGTCGTATATTTTTAAAATCATGTCAAGCAGTATATTAGATATACAGGATTTCAGAAAAATATTTGTTTCAGTTACAGTAGGGGCATTGACTATTTTTTTTTTTTTTTTTTTTTTTTATCGCTTGGAGCGCACGAAAGGGAATCCCTATAATGTTCAAAGAACATCGCGCGTTCCTAGGGAGGATAGGGACAGGAGGTAGGTATTGGAATTTTTTTTGAACTTTTGGAGATTATATGTTGTTGGGAATACTTCCACAAAAATGTGAAATATGGTATTTTATTTTACCTGACTTTTTGGGATTTTCTCTCGTCGTTTCTATAAAATAAAAATATACGTATTATTTCAATATATTTGTAGTGAGACCAATCAGATGATTTGCCCCAAGATGTCACTGCGTTTAACAAATTTTTCAATCAGGGAGCCTAAAAGAAAAATTCAGTAGCTTGTCTCTGTGACACATTGTTCGAAAAAATGTTTGAAGGTAAGAAATATAGATAGGTATATTGAAAAAATATCGAATTTGTACTTATCTTTAGACGTTTCGGGAACGAAACTGCTCCCGTTCTCAACATGAGAATGCAAAATATTTTTCTTTGGAAGTTGTGCTCTGCTTATTGTTTGACACTTCAAACTGATGTTGGCATATGAATGAGTGATTTTAGTCTACAAATGAGTTACAGGATGTCTTCATTAATTGATCTTAAATCTACCATTTTTATGTTCAGTTTTAAGTAGTGAATACCATGAGTTCTATCTATATCAACTGAACAGGAAGCAATGCTATTGTCTCCGTTCAGAAGAATGCAAGCGGATTGCTTGAGTTTTCTTTTTTGGTTGTTATCTTCCTTTCCTATGATTCTGATATTATTCCACTCTGCCATAATATGTTGTCCATCTTCAGTTAGCGTCGATTTATAAATATGTCATTTCTTGATATTGTACTTGTGTTCTTTAGTCCTTACTGAGAGAGGTCTTTTCGTTTCACCTGTATAAAACTTTTCCTGATAGAAAAAATTGTTCAACGCAGTGACATTTTGGGGCGAATCATCTGATTTGTCTTACTACAAATATAGGTATTGAAATAATACGCATATTTTTATTTTATAGAAACGAGGAGAGAAAATCCCAAAAAATCAAGTAAAATGAATGTACCCACCTCCTCGATTAACCTACAGACAGTATGGTATTTTATTTTGTGAGAGAATATTGGAAACGATCTACAGCAAGTCAATCAACCTCACAAATAACAAAATAGAGTCACTGATATGTATAACATTATGTTTTTTCAAGACATTATATTTATAAAGAAAAAAGAGAGTTTATCGTGTAGGATTAAGCGACCATGACGAAACGGTGAAGAAAAAGAACTTGAGGGTGACATAGGACATGACATAGAAAGAATCGCATGAGAAGTCATCAGTCAGGATGAAGGAAGCAAGCGCGAGACAGTATATAACAACAAGACGCTTTGAAAAGACTTAGAGCTTAGAGAACTAGACATAGCTAGTAGGTAGCTTCCCATCTAGCGCGAAACCACACATCACTAGAAAAAAGAACAACAATGCCAAAGAGATTCTTTTACACGCCCAGTGCAACTGATGGAGATGTACACATGTTTTACACCAATAGAAGGAGGAAAGTTAACAATAAATTATTGAAAGTTGAACAAATAACTCAACATTTCGAAGAGGAATTGATTTGTTTTTGGATGTATTAAAAATTTATATTCATATCATATACAGGACGTGGAAAGAAATTCTGATTTGAGGAAACCTAATCACGAATCTGCGATTGAAGGTCTATAAAAATAACAAGTTACAATCGGTCAAGCTTGAACCCCCTGATCAGGTGAGAGTATTGAAAAGGAATATATCCCTTCTCAAGGAATTATTGATTTCGTGAATTCATAACAGATTTAACAGAATGGCTTTTGTGGCAAATATGCAAAATTCTCAAGTCTGCATTTTTTGAAACTATGTTTAGTATTGTGAATATGATTGGCAAAAGAGCTGTTTGTGAGATATTCATCCTTTGTAGTATTCTAATATTTTCCTTCAAAATGTATTCTAGTTTGATTTGCCACTCTGTTGTTGTGTTGTGGAGACTACATTATCGAGAATCTATATTTGCTCTTTCTCAATATTCTTATTGCATCTCTCGGATTCACATTGAGTTCATAATCCCTCTAATTGTTCCTCGAATATACAAGAAACTTGGATATACAGGGTCCTGCATGTCACCTCCCGTCTTCTATAGCTCTATCATCAGTCGAGTCAGGATTTTGATATATTGAGACCCCAATTGTATCGTAGGGCGCACCCCAGGAACATAATTTCGATTATACAGAGTGTCCTAAAAAAGTGTGACGTCATAATGATATATTATTCTGAATGGCATGCCATATATTTTGTAACATATTTGAGTGCTTATTAAGGTCACCTACATACTCCTAGAATTTTATTGAAATCGGTTCAGTGATATTCACGTAAAATAAATATAATAAAAACATCAATTTTGCACTACTGGTCAAAAACAAGAGAGTGCCTTCTCGATAGAATTATGAGAGATACATATCAAATTAGGCCTGAGAAGATCGCTAATCGAGTTTGATTGACACGAATCATCACAGGATGTCCAAAATTCAGTGGCAAACTTTTCAAATTTCAAAGCACTATATTTTTCTCATTTCGGATTGAGCCCCTGAATATTTTCATGTCATTTGATGCGTGAATAAGAAACAAACTTTCTTCTTATCACAACTGTTGAAGAAAAACATTCAAATGTATCAGATCACCTTAAGAGGCAGACTCACTTGCCCGAGCAGGAGCAAACAAAGCTCTGAATGGCCCAGAACCCTTCTGTGGTATTGCGAAAGCTATACAAAAGACTAGTATCAAATCATGGATGCAAACCAAATCTCAAGAATGGTGGAACAAATCGCCAGGAATGAGACAGGCAAAAGAGTTTATTAAAAAACCATCGCCAACATTCACAGAATATCTACTAAGCCAGAAACGAAGTTCAACTAGAATACTAGTAGGACTTCTCACAGGGCATTGTAGGCTCAACAAACACATGAGTACGATAGGTCTGACTGAAGAACTGCTGTGCAGGTTCTGTCAGGAAGAGGAGGAAACAGCAGTACACATACTTTGCCACTGTGAGGGCTTGTCAAGACTAAGGTTCCTTACGCTGGGTGAGGAAAAACCAGAAGCCCAGAGATACACAGGGGATCTGAAAGCTAGCCTATGGAGTCTCATAGAGAAGACGGGGCTAGCCGAAGAACTCTAATCGATTTTGAGGGCAGACACAATAGATCTGAAAAGGTCGCGGTGTGGAGGCAGATAGCCCGAAGGCCCCATTCTAAATCTAATCTAATCAGATCACCTTCTATATCTTTGTTCTTTTTACTGATGTCGTTGTTTCAATGACTACTTAGTAACTAAAATTGTTCTAAAATTGTTCTAAAATTGTTCTAAAATTGTTCTAAAATTGTTCTAAAATTGTTCTATCCGTCATAGACATGTCAGATAATATATTCCTTGTGTGTCATCGTTTTTCTTTTAATAAAAGATTCTTAATCATATTGATGTGTGTTTGCACCTACATTACATCAACATGGTAGCAGAGCGTGGTTCCTCGAAAGTGGAGTAATAGTGCTTTGTTGTATATTGGGATATTGATCATAGTAGTGATTTGGAACCTGGAATTTACAACATCTTTATGAGCATGGAATATCACGGAATCGAGAAACTGAGAGGTGCTGAAAATTGGACCAACTGGGAGTTCGCAGTAAAGAATATACTGCGTGGAACCGGAGGAGCATACGAAGTCGCCAAACCAAATCCGTTAGCAGGAAATGCTGCTCCTGAAGAAGTCGACAATTATCAGGCAGATCTGAAGTTATGGGACAAAGGAGATCGTGCAGCAAGCCAAATTATCATCAGGTCCTTAGATTCGGAACTCATGGCTCTTCTGGTTGCTTGCGAAACAGCTGCTGATATGTGGTTCAAGCTACATGCTGTTTTTGAGCAGCAAAGTAAACAGGCTGCTCATATAGTCCAAGCGGAATTCTTCAGTTTTAGAAAGCATCCAACTGATGGTATGGTCACACATATAGCCAAATTTGAAGGGTTGGTTTTACGTATGCAACAGTTGAATGTGAAACCAGATAAACTATCGTTGGTAGTCAAATTATTGGATACATTACCAGATGAATATGAAAGTCTTTAACAGGCGTGGTGGGCAAGACCTGAAGATCAGCAAACATTTGAAACGTTAATAGGTGTCTTAACATCTGATGAAAAGCGTCGGAAGCAACGAGTGGAAAAACAAGAAGAACTAGTTGCGCTTATGTCTGCAAAAGCAAATATTCAAGTTGGTGGTGCTAGAAA